TCATGATGTTCAAGCCTACCCCACAATGTAATGGTATTTGGAAGTGGGGTCTTTAGGAGATGATGAGGTCATGAGAGGCGACCCCCGAGTCCTCCCTCACGCCTTCTGTCATGTGGGGACACAGCAAAGAGGTGAAGTCCATGAACCAGAAAGCAGATTCTCACCAAACAATGAATCTGCCGACACCTTGATCTTGGACTTCTCAGCTTCCAGAGCTGTGATAAATAAATGTTTGTCGTTTCAACCATCCGATCCATAGTAATTTGCTCTATGGCAGCCCAAACTGATTAAGACATGGGGTGTGTGAGTAGCCAATGCCTTGCTGGCCCTTTGGTGGTCTTTTCCAGATGTTTTTTGTTTGTTTTTTGTTTTTATTTTTAATATTTTTTATTGATTTTTCACAGAGAGGAAGAGAGAGGGATAGAGAGTCAGAAACACCGATGAGAGAGAATCATCGATCAGCTGCCTCTTGCACACCCCCTACTGGGGATGTGCCCGCAATCAAGGTACATGCCCTCAACCGGAATCGAACCTGGGACCTTTCAGTCCGCAGGCCGATGCTCTATCCACTGAGCCAAACCGGTCCTGGCCTTTTCCAGATGTTTAATTCAGGCTTTGCTGCTCTTCGTGCTGAGGTGCAAGGGAGGCTCGGAATCAGGATGAAGCATGTTGTCCTACGGCCACTTTGTATATCTGCAGCCATAACCCCAGGCGCCTTTCCAATATAAGTCCTTTGGCACAGATTGGCTTTCTATACTTCAAACAAACGTGTTAGAAAATTGTAGCCCTGTATTTATAGTGCTATAGAAACCAAAAGCCAAGCCATCATTTTTACTGAGACATAGTTTCAGAGGGCTATTCACGCGTGAACCTGCGAGCTGGAGTTCCCACAGCCACATCAGTACTGCAGTGGTGGCTGGAGCCCTCCCCATGCATTGTGTTTGTGTTAACGATTTCTAAGTCACAATGAATGATTTGCCATCGGATCCAGAACAAAGCCCTGAGGTCCATCAGAAGGGTGACCTATGGCCCGAGGGATACTGGCAGGGAGAGACCATCATTCTTTGGGTGTCCACGGGGCTCCAAGGATGGGTGGGAAGAGACAAACCCTGTGGCTTCAACGCACCACAGCAACTCCTGCCAACGGAAACATGCAAGGAATGGCTCCCTTAATCCCGCTCTGTTTATGAAGACATTTTAAAGGCTGCGGTCTACATTCGCAGACACTCTGAGAACGTAAACAGTCCTGTGACATCACTCGGCTGAAGGCTCATTTAACATAGAGAAAGGCGTAGAAAGTCTACCGTGGAAATGAAGGCTGTCACAAAGTTTTTACGAGAGGATTTGCTGAAGGAGAAGAGATGCCTGAAAACATTTTCGGTGACAGCTCCAAAACACTTATGTTCCTTCCCTAATCCTTTTAGGCACGTCCTGGATCAGCTGCATGTTCCGTGCCAAGGGGAAGCAAAAATGTGTCAGCAAGTGATCCTTGCCCTCAGAACTGAGCTTCTCAAACTGCAACGTGCAGGAGGATGCAGATGCCAGTTGAGCAGATGTGGGTGGGGCCGAGCTTCCTGGGGATGCTGCTGAAGATCCTCAAATACTTACCAGGCCAACAAGGTAAAAGAAGCCTTTGATCGGCATATCTCTGACAAGCATCACATTGTTTCAAAATTAGTGATACCTGGGCTGCTGCCTGCCTAGTGACACCGATGAACTGCTGCTTTTAATTGCTGACCACCACAGCTTTGCTGGCCAGATGCCTGCAGGAAAAACCTCAACAGGTGAAAAGCTAAGCTGAAGGGCGTGCCCCTAGGAAGTCGGAAGGCCATCCTTGGTAGCCAGAGCAGCTGGAAAAAAGATTTCAGGCCACAGTGCAAGACTGGACAAGAGATTTGTCAACCAGTGTCTGCGTCCTATCAGGGGACATCATCTTCTTTCTCACAGTGAGGCCTTGGTGGTTGTGTTTTTGAGGTTGTAAATCACAAGGAAACACGAAAGCCTAGCACTTGCCTTGAGGCCTGTCTTGGGGCAATCCGTAAACATAACAGGTTTCTGATGGTTTGTGGAAACTTGATCGGAGAGAAAGCTCAGGGTGGAGCCTAAAGCTGACGCTTAAAGGAGGTTAGTGGGACCTTGAGGAAAGACAGAGGAGCTCAGAGTTGAGCCCATTAAGTTCGCACAGAATGGCACTGTCTTCCTCAGGACAGCAGCGCCCTGCCTGCTACCCCTGCAGGGGGAGCTTGGGTCCTAAATAAGAATGGAAAGTAGGAATATGTATTAACCAGGATGACGCTCTCCTGTAGGGTAACTTATCAGAATTTCAGGTAATGAAAGGATCAAAGTTTAAGATTAGAGCCCTGACCGGTTTGGCTCAGTGGATAGAGCATCAGCCTGTGGACTGAAGGGTCCCAGGTTCGATTCCGGTCAAGGGCATGTACCTTGGTTATGGGCACATCTCCAGTAGGGGGTGCAGGAGGCAGCTGAACAATGTTTCTAGCTCTCTATCCCTCTCCCTTCCTCTATGTAAAATATATATATATATATATATATATATATATATATATATATATACACTTTTAAAGTTTAAGGTTAGAATTGAATGAACACATACCTATGCTGGAATAGGATCTGTAGTCTTAAAAAAAAGAAATATATATATTCTCTGTAAAAAATCAATAATATATATATATTATTGATTTTTTACAGAGAGGAAGGGAGAGGGACATTGATGAGAGAGAAGCATCCCATCAGCTGCCTCTTGCACACCCCCTTCTGGAGATGTGCCTGCAACCAACTTGACTGGAATCGATTCTGGGACCCTTCAGTCCCCAGGCTGATGCTCTATCCACTGAGCCATACCAGCTAGGGCTGGGATCTGTAGTCTTGATAAACAAGTGTCTGCCTGATGAAGTTGTCTAGGACAAAGACTTTTTTAAATCCTCAACCAAGAATGTTTTTTTCCCCCCAATAAATCTTGAGAGAGACAAACATCAATCGGTTGCCTCTCGTACATACCCCAACAGGGGACTAAAACTTACAACCTAGGTATGTGACCTGACCAGAAATTGAACCCATGACCTTTCGGTGTACAGGATGACACTCCAACCAACTGAGCCATCCTGGCCAGGGCAAAAGGCGCTTTCTTAATAGCATTTCTATGTTTCTGATCTAAGGGGCATGAGGTAATCCTGTTTATAAACTGAATAAATATAACTGCTCAAAGAGTTTTTGAAAACTAATTTTTTTAAACACGAGATCATTTCTCTCTAAATAATAAATGCTTCCAAGGCCCAGTAACTAGAGTGCTATGATTTTTACTCCAAATGACAATGTATGTCGGCTCATTTATTTCTATAAAAGGGAACAGGAGAGTACTTCCCAAGGAACAGCCTGTGAATTCTGGGGAAAGCGGGCCGGGTGCCTGTTGATTCTTGATTCATGATCTCTGCTTAAATTGTGAACATTTGGTATATTTTAGATGGCAGAACACCAGGGACAAGTCTCATAAACTGACCCTACACCCATTTTCTTATTGAAAGAAGGTAGTTTTACACCATCTGACTTGCTGCCAAATTAATAAATGGCAGCCCATCGCAAACAACTTCAGAAGCTGATTAACCCTGTATGGGAGGAGTTTCGGTGATTCCCGAGAGATTCACTTAGTATCCTGTGAGTGTTCTAGCTTCGAAAGAAATGTGAGTTATATTTCGTGTGGAGGCTGAGTGAGTAGGGTCAATTCTTTTCCTGTTTTGGCATTTTCCCACGACCATAAGGCACATCCAAAGAAATAGAAACTGAGCAGGCTAGACATTCACCCATTACATTTTAATCAATAAATATGAACATTAAACCCATTATTATTAATTAAAAACCCATAATTATTATTAAAAACCCATTATTATTGTCAAAAGCTAAAAAAAAAAAAACACAAAAACCCACCACCTTGGCATGGAATCATCTTAAAAGTTTCATTGATCTATTAAAATTAAAACTAATTGCACACAGATTATATGACACCTAAATGAATAAAGGACTGACTGGAGGAATCGCTAAACATCAGGAAATACAATGATTTCTATTCACATTATAGGCAGCTTACATCCACTCCTTGTTCCTCCCCTGCCCCATTCACTACCCCTTCTTCTGCTGTATTACAGGGAAACACTTCCCAGTGCCCTTGTCAACTGGCTTCCAGGTGGGTCTGGAAGGGGAAGTGCCGGAGAAGACTCGGAGGGCAGAAGAGGTGGAGCCAGGGTATTTCTCCGTGTCTGACTCATCTGGTGGTGCCCCATCTCGGGCAGGGGGTTTGTCCCTGCCATGGCTCCATGTTCCATGACTCCTCTCCTTGGGGGTGCTAGCCCTCCAGCTCCTGGGGAGACCCCAGCTTCTGGACTCAGGGAACCACACTGCCTCACAGCTCTAGGTGGTAATAGCTTCCTCTTTCTTGTTGGGCTCCTCTTTGGTCATCTATGCACGTTAATTTCCTCTATTAAATTCCTTCTGTTGGAACACCTAGAAAGGTTTGTTTTCCTAACTGGATCCTGACTGATACGCAATAGAATCTTTAAATTATTTTTAAATTATTTTCCCTTGAAAGTTATCTGGGAATGTCTGCCTGAGAATAAAAATGGTTTTGTTTGTTTTTTTTTCAAAAAAAAATATCACTCAAAGCACACTCGATCTCCCGCTTCTGCAATATCAGGGAGACCACCCCCTTGGCTGTGTTTTGTCAAGCACCAGGACTCTCTCTTTGACAGGCACCGACATGATTCTAACTGGCCATCCACGGCACCTCCAACCACAGTGGACACAGCCAAGAGTCATCAGCAGAGGTAATCGTTGTTGTATGTGCTACATGGACAACCAGAGGAAAAGTACAAACCAAAACAAAAAAACAAAAAACAAAAAACACAACAACCTCAGAATCTAAAGAGGAAACGACAAAGTCATTGCGTAGATAACATTGTGAGAAATTTTCCTGAGTTAAAAATCCTTTAGAATTTATGGAAATCTCAAGAACATTAAAAAAAAAAAAAAGAAAAAAGAAAGAAAGAAAGAAAGAGATGATTCATCAATAAAGGATTCATTGCTTTCCAGCTACATGGCACGAGAGTGGGCAAGGCTACTTAGAGAAGTAGAGGTCCTTGGTGAGCATGGAGACCACACACGGGATCTGCTTCTTCTCGTGGAAATTCGGGTTGAAGGTCCGAGACTCGAAGTCCCTGGCCACCTTGTAGTTCACCCTGGTGAGGATCTTCAAGAGGTCCAGGCTTTTCCCGTATTCATCCAGGGTGGCGCTGAGGGCCTGCACAAACCAGGAGCCGCATCCCGGGCTCCTCCACGAGTAATAGCCTTCCACAGGACAGGAAACAGGAAGAGCAGGTCAGCTGCCCGGGCCGGCCCCGCTCACCCCTGACAGTGAGCTCTCGGTTGTCAGGGGCCCTCCCACGTACCTTTCTGAAACAGGGTCACTCTACTCTGCACGCGAGTCCCTCATGAGAATCGTGCCGGGGTGCTCAAAGGGCAGACAGACGTCTAAAGATTTAGAGGGCCGCGTGGAGATGCTCAACACACGACTTGGTGGGCCTGCAGGGATGCCTGTGAGATTCCTGAGGGAGTGTGTGACACGGAACCTGCCTAAGGAGAGGCTGGAGAATTGCTCCATAACTGGAACGCCTCACCATTCTTTGGGGTGCGGGCTACTTTCCAACTCAAGGGGGACCCTAGAGGATTTTTGAGATATGTTCCTGCTGCTGAGGGGGAACTAGAGGCTGGCTCCTGCTGAAGAAATCTCCAAGTGAGAGGCGGCTGAATGAGCAATTACCTGAGGGGCAGAGCTAGGAGAGCCAGCTGCCCTGGGGGCAGGAGTCGGCTGGGAGGAAAGGGGCCACAAGCCAAAGAATGCAGGAGGTTTTAATTGTGGGGGACGAAGCAAGGACATGGATTTTTAACCCCTACAGCCTCCGTCGGAAACGGATGCAGCCCTGCCAAGTCATTTTGGAATTCTGACCTTCAGAACTGTTAAGATCACCCATCTGTGTGTGCGCTCAGCCACGGTGTTTGTGGTAGTTTATCCCCAGGGCAATGGGAAACGTATACAGCCCTGCACTCTGACAGTGGAATGGCACAGATACGGGGCTTGGTACCTGACACTGTGGAATAGGCGAAGAGGAAGTCTGCCTCCACGGGGATCTTCTGGCGGGGGCTGGCATCTGTGTCGCTGATGGGCCCCGAGTCGGGTTGGATCCCGTCATCGAGCTCTGTGCCCCGGCACGCCTAGGTGGCAAAGCAGAGACCGCTCCATGGAGTCAAGAACAGACACACGCGTGCTGCCCCCAGCCGTGTCCCAGTGCCTGGAGCTGTGCTCGGCATGTACGGGGAGCTCAGTGATCATCGGGTGAATGACTACATGAATGCTGAACTGAGTTCGTCAGCGAAGCGAGTAACAGGGTGGCAATGTCTGAAAGAAGCCCCCATGATCTGGGAGCTGAAGCAAACACAGAAGCCCAGCACTGAGAGGTAGAAAAACAAAACCCACATTTGCATCCTCCAATCAAAAAAGCACATAGATTTGCAGAGATGATACGGTCCAATCAGGCTGTAACCTGTTCCCCCTCTCCGTGGTGCTGGCTTTGAAAAGGGATTACCTGGATGAAGAAGAGTTTGGGTTTCTCTAAAAGGGTTTTGCATTTATCCCCCCGAAAAAGGCAGGTCAAGTCCTTGATGTCCATCTTGTCGTCCGTTCCGTAAATCGAGTTTTCTTCTCCGTGGCTCAACAAGACACAGGCGAAGCAGGCTGCATTTCTGTGGTCCTCCTCAGAGGCTGCAAACAAGGAATTTGAACAGTGAGCAGAAAAAGCACAAGCCCTATGGGACCTCAGAGGTGGTGCCTCTCCCTCCCAGCCCTGCCAGCCTGCCAGAGAGCCATGCAGGGGGAGAAACACCCCACTAGAGAGGAGGAGGACCAGTGGAGAAGTTAGAGAATTCTAGAATTCTCAGTCCGAAACCAGAATGGAGCTGTCTCGTGAGGATGTGAGCCCCGCAGGTGGGAGGGTTTAGGCAGCTGCTGGGAGGTAGCATCTTGGGGTGCTGAAGGGGGGTGGCCCCGCTGTTAGGTTTGTGACACAGGGCACATTTCTTTGCCATTCTGTGTCTTGGTTTCCTTGCCTGTAAAATGGATAGACTAGTACCTATTACACGTGTCAACATTTGCAAGCCAGTGTCGTGCAAGTATTTGTTAAAGAAAATGAAGCATTGTGCTAAGTGAAACAAGCCAGTCACTAACGGACAAACACTTGATGCTTCCACTTACGAGGTCCCTAAGGAGTCAAATTCTCAGAGACAGAAAGCAGAATGGTGGCTGTCAAAGGCTGGGGGAGGGGAGAACATCATTGTGGGGTACATGGGATTATTCTTCTGTCTCTTCCACCAGGGAAAAGTTCACTCTGAAACTGTGTGGTGAGCGGAATGGCAGCCATTTGTTACTTCCCTAGGAATTAGCCTTTTGAAGTTGAGACTTTCTGTAGAGACAGATCTTATTTCTCTTGCTGTCATATAAGCTGACTTCATCTTTTTACGGAGAAAGCTGTTTCCTGAGAGAGGTCCACCCACCCGGAGGCAGGTAGGGAGCGGTCCGGAGGCAGGAAAGGCCTCCCACACTGAAATCCCTGTGTCCTCGAAGCATCCCCGAGACCAGCTGGGCCCTGCTCCTCTCTCAGGTGCAGGAAAAGGACAGAGGGAGGAGGGGGTAGGCATGCACCTTCTTTCAGCACCTTGTGCATCTGGGCACAAGTGTAGTTGTTACACACCACCACGTCGAAACCCAGGTTTTGGAAGGTCTTGAAAAGGGACTCAGCATCTTTGTCTGTTCCGCTCCGGACGGACAGCCCTGTGGGAGTCAAGCACCAGTTCACGGTGAGCAATCCTCGGCTGAGCACTGTGTGCCGCCATCACCCGGCCAGGCGCCACGTGCAGCTGAGAGGTAACGCTCAGCTGCAGTCAAGGCCAACAGCCCCTCTTGAGTCTCGGCTCATGCGCCTACATGGTGGCCCCTGGACTACAAGTTCTCGATTTCCCCACATCCCTTCCTGTAGGGAGCGGTTATAGGGTTAAGCCTCGGACTGACCTGCTGGCAAAGTCCCAAACAAGTCCCAGCTTGGAGGGCATAGCCCTCTAAGCTAGGGGTGTCGAACTCAATCAGAGAAGGGGCCAAAATCTAAAATCCAGCCTAAATCGCGGGCCGAATGGTTTACTGAACAGTCATAAACTGTCACTGTGATGGAAACGCAGCGGAGTGCAGTGATGACAGCGCGGTGCGGGCCACATTGCAAGGCCTGGCGGGACGGATTTGGCCCGCGGGCCTTGTGTTTGACACATGTGCTCTAAGCATAATTAAGCTTGATCTTGTGACTGCTCCCTAGATCGTTCCTGGGTAGCTAATGGGTTGTGGGAGGGCCAGCAAGTGCTACCAAAACAAATGAAACTTACAAGAACGTTATAAATTACTTTGTTTACCCCTGACTACAAATAAAGCATCAGCTTTGCTGTCTGGATCTGTTCTGTGGCCTCAGCCAGGCACAGAAGATCCACCTAGACCCAAATTATACTCTTTGTCTGTCTTTTTCTTCATCCTTCACCGCCCTCCCTCAGGCTCGCCGAACCCTTGGCTGTGCTGGAACGCATCCTCCTAGACGTGCAAATACCATCTACAAAGCGGCCGTGTGCCCTAGTCGCTGGGCACAGCATTCTCTGCTGAATGAGTGCTACAAGTCTGAACCCAACTGGAGACACTGGAAGGGAACAGGACAGGCGAGCCCCTGCCCACAGCCCCTACCTGTCGATTCGTGGAAGTTCTTGTTGTTTATTATGATGCATTTGCCCATCTTCTCAAAGTTCATGTTATACCGATATGTAGGCTCTTGGTTCTGGGTGGCCTTGATGGAGTTCTTCTTCTTACTGTGGAAACAAAGCCAGACAGGGGCTATGGGAGAAGCCTGGTCATGAATGGCCCTTGCTTTTACTATCAGCATGAAAGGGGCGGCCAAGGAAGCTGCAGAATCTGTGACGGAAAGACCTGGGGCAGACAGATGGCTCTGTTTAATGAATCATCACATTTAAAAGGAACGTACATCTTAATTTCATTCGTTGCCGGGGGGGGAGGGGAGGGGGGATCTCAATGCCATACCAGAACGGCTGCACCTGAGAGTGACCGTGCACGGCACCTGAAATTGTTGGGGAGAGCCCACTTCGTGTGGCCAAGTGGCAGAAGTCTCTGAAAACGAACTTAAATAAATCCTATGACAGAGCAATTCCACTTCTCGACATGTGCCCCAAGGTGGGCAAACGTTGTGTACCAAAAGACGGACCATGGCAGGTGTAGAAAGAACCCAAAAGTCCAATCACAGCAGGAAGGATAAACTGCTCAATATTCGTAGGAGGCAGCACTAGGTAACAAGGACAGTGAACAAAGCCATGACAACATGAAGCCACACATACAAACCTTACAAGTACGATCCTGAGGGAAAGAACCAAGATTTAAAAGGTGCCTATAGGAGGACTCCGTCTTTCATCCAGTTCAGAAAACGAACACCTGGGATCAGAAGCTGGGAGGTCCTTTTCTTGATGGTGGGATAGTTAGGGACCGGAAGAGGGACATAAGGACTTTCTCAGCTGCACGTCATAGGCTGTTCTTGATGTGGGTGCTGGTTACACAGTTGTGTCAGTTGGTGCAAACACATTAGTGAGTGCCCCTTTCTATGTGCCCCTTAATTCAATGAACAGTGACATTATACTGGGGGAGGGGGGAAACAGCAATTTAAAAAAGACAGTCGGCCTCTTTCAATCTTCAAACACCTAAGTCCAATTTACCAAAAGCCTAGCATGTAAGCCCTGAGGCCAGAACAGGGGTATCACTGAGGGGCCAGAGAGAGAAAAAAAAAAAAGTCAAATGTGAGTGGAAAGCCTCCATGCATGTCATCTGGTCGAATGTAAGTCCCACAAAAGAGATAATTTTAAATCTGTTCTGAAAAACTGCTGAATCCCTAACACCTAGAACAATGCCTAGCATATACGTGGCTCAATAAATATTCGTTATAAACTACAGGCCAATATCCCTTATGAATACAGATGCAAAAAATCCTTAACAAAATATCAGCAAGTCAGGTCCAGCAATCTATAAATGGGATTATGCATCCTGACCAGGTGTGATTGACCCCAGGATTGGTTTAAATCTCTGAAAAACAATGAATGTAATCCATCATGTTAATAAAGGCCAAAGACCATTTGGCCAACTCGATACAGAAAAGGCATTTGGAAAAATCCAACACCCTGTTATGATAGCAATGTGAAATAAACTAGGATGACGATGGAACTTGGCTTGAGAAGGGCATCTGTGAAAACTCCACAGCATCACACTTACTGCATGCTTCCCCCTAAGATCAGGAACGAGCCACACAGGCCCACTCTTGCCCCTTCTATTAAATACTGTATGAGAGGCTCTAGTCAGGACATTTAGGTTTAAAAAATGTGTTACATACATACATGAGTGAATGGAGTCTTATTCCCCCATTTTTCAGAAATGAAACACTAAAGGCCACAGAGAGGCAGGCGTTGTCCAAGATCACCCAGCTAGTGATCAGCAAAGTGGGATCATCAGGCTTCCACGTCAGCATTCTAGAGCCCCACACGTCTGCCCCCAGAGGCAGCTCCAAAAGAGCACTAGACCTGGAGTCAGAGAGCAGTCTGCCTCCCTGCACCTGTGCAACCTGGGCCAGTGCGTCTCTGCCCTTCATAGCGCATCAGTTTCCTCTCCCCAAAGATGGAGCCTTCTATGACTGTCACAAGATTAGACAGGGAGCTCTGCAGTAGCAGGGACTCCCATGCAGCCTTCTCCGCTCCCAGGCCTCCAAAAAAAACCCTCAGGAGTTAAGTAACAGCAAATCGAGTTTCTGTACACTTCAAGGACATGCCATTGGGAAGGGGTAGGGCAGGTCATTGTTGCCTGGTCAATTACCCCTATTGACAGCATCCGTGCACATTAAAATATGTGTCAACAGCCTGGCCAGTATGGGTCAGTGGTTGAGCACTGACCCATGAACCAGGAAGTCATGGTTCGGTTTCCAGTCAGGGCACATGCCCAAGTTTCAGGCTTGATCTCCAGTTGGGGACGGGAAGGAGGTAACCGATCAATGATTCTCACTCATCATGGATGTTTCTCTCTCCCTCTCCCTTCCTCGTTGAAATCAGTAAAAACATATTTTAAAACACATCTGTGCACAGCCCTTCATGGGCACCACGATATCTGGTCTTCAATTGACATCTCTGAGGTAGGAGGAGGGGGTACAATCACACCCATTGTATAGGTCCCTGTAACAACAACCAACATCTGTCAGTGCTTTTACTGTGGGCAGGGACCTGGTTAACCTCTCGGCTGCCTTTTCTCATTGACTCCTGACAGATCTTCAGGTCACTTAAGGCCAAAGACCCTAATCACAGTCGCAATGAGTCTGGCAGGCTGGAGAGCACGCTTTATGCGCTCAAGCCCTTTCAGAGATAAAAGTCTATTTTCATCTTTGGCAGCATGGATTATTTTAAAACCAACTGCACAATATCCAAGTCATAAAACAAGATGCGATTTCTTTTGAGCTGCCATTAGCCCATCCTCAAAGATGAGAAAACAAAACCAGTGAGCATCTTTTAAAGAGAAACAGGCTTGAATACGTCACATTAAAAAAAGAAAAGAAAAAGAAAAAATAATTCCGTTTCTATCAGAACAGAATTTGGAAAATCAAATGTATTTTGTTTTTTATTTTTAAAGGGACTCAACAGGGAATAAAGATATATACACTTTAAAGAAAACACTTCCATGGTTATGAAAAGTGCCTTACAATTGAGCATGAAATGTGATTCCTGATAAATATCTCAAAAAGGAGGTAAGGAAAGTTTCCCTCACTTGAACTTTCATTTTTTAAAATGAATTGAATATCTGCTTACTCTTTTTGGATTTGAGGGTGGCTGATTCTGCAGGAACACAGGACAATTTTTTTGCTGAAGTATTTCTTTTGTGTGTGACATCTAATTTCTTGGAAATGCTTCTGCATTGACAAGTTTTCTTCCTCTTCCCCCCTTGCCTCTCTCATTTCCAATTTTAAGTTTTAATAGCATCCCTCAACGAAAAGGCCCGGCTGGTAGGCCTATATGATTCAGCCAGACCCCCACTCCCATAAATGACCAAGATGCAGTTCAGTCTCCACTTCCTGTTTCGACTGGGAAAGGGCAGGGTCCTTCCATCAAAACCACAGAGTTTGATGGGAAAAAGAATGAGGAAGCTCTCTGTTGACTGTTTATAGGGGATGCCAGGTTCTCTTCACACGTCTGCCCCCAGAGGCAGCTCCAAAAGAGCACTAGACCTGGAGTAGAGCAGGTGATTTCCAGTAAGTAGTGTGAAGTAGTGTGAAGCGTAAAATAAAACAAAAGGGCAGAACAAGATGCTACCTACCTTTTGGGGGGAAATGAGGAGGAAATAAATAGATGTTATCAGCACTAATGTTACTATATATCATTTGGGGGGCCAAGAGCAGGATAGCAGGAAGGAATGGGAAAAAGAATTTTGACTGTCTGCCTGTCAGTATATGTGAATACCTTCATTATTCAATAATAAAATTATTATTAATAGCTAAAAACCATATGCAGCAAATAGATTTCGAGATCTGACCTATTTTGAAGATTACTGGATTTTTATGCTAATTGTTGCAAGGGCCCCATTTTTCTATTTCCCTGCTGTGGTTCTACCCGTCTCCCTAGTCTCCCTAGCCTTTCAAACGTCCAATACAACCAAAACTCGTCCCCGGCACAGGCTTGGTGGAGCTGTAGCTCACCATCAGCCCAGTCCGGGGAGGAAAAATGGGTGAGGCCCGTGCCAGCAGCTCATCAAGTTACCGTCTGTCTGGAAATCAGCTGCCAGAGCCAAGCAGATCACCCGATAAACAACACCCGCGGGACAGGAGTCAGGGCCTCGAGGGCTCCAAAGGGATGGTGCTCACTAACCAGCCAAGGGCAGGAAGACAGCGACGGTCCACAGATCTGCGGGGCAGCTTCTCGCAGGGGTGGGGTCGGGGAGGGAACGCCAAGGGTAGTAAGAAGCTTTCAAAGATCCAGATTAGACACTTCTTCGGCTGGCGATCATCCCCCCCAAGATAAGATTTTCTAAAAGTGGCTGCTCTTGTCCCACTTTCATAGAAGGCCTTTCCGGCAGAGGAAGGAGGCTGCAACATGTGAGAACACCGTCCCCAACAGGTGGGCGCTCGGAGTTCCGTTTAAGACCGGATCTATGGAAACTGGCCTTTCTCCCAAACCTGACACACAGCACACATGGAGGAACCACTTCAGGCAGCTCCCCGAATCCCCAGGATCCAGGACCACTAACACTGGTGGGATGCTGTATGTGTGACAAAGTGCGTTCGTGACCCTTCTCCCGTTCATGCTACAAAATCCAGACCAGAGACAAAAGGAGACTCAGCAAACAGAAGCTGGCCAGGGTATTCTTAGATCACATTCTCTCTCTTCCCCTTCTCCCTCCTTCTTGCTCATTCTCTGCTGAGAAACCTACCCTTTACCTGGAACTTTTTTTTTTTTTTTAAACATTAAGAAGACTTCGGCCAAGATTATTGATTATGTTGAGAAGACATATACCCAGCCAGGGTCCTTGTTTTGGAACCTGCTGTTAGGTGTAAGGCTCATGATAACCCAGACCAGTGAATTAAAAGTTGTAAATCCTCTTAAAGGCTCCTGTCTTCCACAATTGGCTACAGGTTTTAGAGCAGCTCTGGCCGGAATATCACTGTGCGTAGGGCCAGATAAACAAGACTGTGACCACGAGGAGGGCCTGGGAGAATGACTTTGTAAATGCCCATCAGTGTGCGCGAATGGGCAGCCATCCTCACCATCTCCTGGTGTTGTGTTTCCTCACAGGCCCGGGCCAGGACCGTTATCTCCGTGTCCCAGACATGTTCAGAGAGGCTCAGATCTCTGCCGGGAACACAGATAATGCCGGGGTCCACGACTAGGACCTGGAATTATCCGAACTTCTTAGGTACAGAGCCAGTTTGCAGAGCCTCCAATTTCACGGTGCAAGGCCAGCTCATGTCATTTCAACCAAGTCAAGAGGCCAAAAATGACAACCCATGCCTGGCGGTTATCGAATATAAAAAGACCTCCAGGAGGAGCCTGCGGCAGCGCCCACCAGAAAGCACCAGCAGGATTAAAACCGCCGGCTTACTTTGCAAAGAAGCAGGGGGGAAAAATCTCAGAAAAGTGCCTGCTGAACTTTTGTAATCCGCTCCGGGCGAGAATGTAATTTTCCCCATGGCCGGAGTGGCTAAGTACAGGTTCTATCCTCTTACAGATGCCCCAGCCTGCTGGAAACGTGAATTATAGCTTTCTATATTTGGAAGGGACGAGCTGGGAGCATGCAGAGCCCATGAACAGAATCCCCAGGAGCCCTGTCTGGGCGCAGGCATTCATCAGCGCGAGAGTAAACACACCCCCGGGCACACGTTTCTCCTCTGGGCCGCTTCATTGGGAACCAGAGCTCTGGTTCTCGTAGCCGTTTTGTCTAAATGCTTTTGGGATGATTCATTCATGGTTGCCACGTTTCAACGGAGGGCAATCCCAACAGTCCCGACATTCCAAGGCCCAGAGCAAGGCCGAGAGGAGAGGAGAGGAGAGGAAAGGAAAGAGGCAAGGCGATACCTCGGGTCTCCATCCGAAAGCGCCCCACTCGGCCTCCCTCGCCATGCGACAACAGGCAGTACGTTTTCCTCTTCTCTGTAATAATAAAAACTGAACATGCTGGGAGCTCAGCAGGAGACAGAAGGCTGGTGTAGCCGGCGGCCCGGCGGCCTGCGGCTGAATCAGCAGGGAGCTGCCGCTGGAGTTTTCCATAAGCCCATTCCCGCTGGGGCTGGGAAAGTCACCCTGGCCTCCCCCTTCTCTGCTGACCAGCAGAAATGCCCAGGCTCCACCCTGCAGCATCCTCCTCACCCAGCGACAGCTCCCCAGGGACAAAGAGACTTGCCATGTGCGTGAGGTCCAAAGGGAAAAAGACCCACATCCCTCTAAGAGGCAGTCAGCAGCTCTATTTTTTAGAGCAAAAAAGCTGGAAACGGTAGGGGAATGAACGGCTAGGCCAGGGACCAAGAATTGGTAGACGAAAACCCTACACAGCCATGCAAAGTGATGGGCACAGAGGCAGGCAACCCACGGAAAGGCCGAAACTACATAAAGTGTCAAAACAGCCCACGCAGGAAGATTGCAACACATGTGAAATGGACAGGATAAGTAAATGAACAAAAACAGGAAGTGAGTTTGTGGCTCATCGGGATATTTTTTTTTTCCTCCTAAAGGCACTCAAGGTAGTAATACAAAAACAAAAGACGGGAGTGGGTACCAGAGCCGTCCATTTTCAACGAGGCACATACATGTTCAAGGGTCTTGAATGGAGTCAGTGATCCCAGGAGTGACTACAGTTTCCCATCTCACCTCTCCAAGTGCAAAGGCGAAAAAAAATGTGAGCACCCCGAAACCAAACACTTACTAAGCAAACCGCTCAGCAAAGCTTCTCTCCGTTTCCTGGTTCAGGGTCACAGCAGGTGCAAGGCGTGAAGCTTACAACACCTGCGACCCAGGACAGACCTCCGGATGATTTCCGTGCTCAGGTCCCCGACCGACAGAGAGAGGAAACCGGCTCAGGGAATTTTTCTCTGAAGCCCCGTTTGCATAAATACACTGGGAAACCAAGCCAGTTTAATACAGGCTGGTGGGGGGGAATTCCTTCCGCTAAACGCACCCCTCCACGTTTTCCTCTTCCCCCTGGAAAAGGAGCAGAGAGAATCACTGATTGGATGCCTCTTGCACGCCTCCTACTGGAGATGGAGCCCAAAATCCAGGCATGTGCCCTTGACCGGAACCTCTCAGTAGGAAGGCTGATGCTCTGTCCACTGAGCAAAACTGGCTAGGGCCATAAGGTATTTCTTCTTGATCATTTCTTAAAAGCCCAACACTTTACTAATTTTAAATTAATATTTGGAGGTTTTTCCTTTGTGGTTCTATGTGTTTTCCAAGTGTTCTTCAATCATCAGAAAATTAGAAAACAATTTTAATAAACGTTTGTTTTTAAATGAACATAAGGAACAGGTTGGGTTTTATTCAATGGAATGGAATGAAAATGAAATGATGCTATTGTGCCATCTAGTGGCAATGACACAAAAAAGCCAGGATGGGACAGAGGGCTTGAAGTAGGTAGCTACTCAGGGCCAGAGAGTGCCCTCCAGGCTCTGGGGAGAAAGGAGGCTTTTTTCCAGTTCCCAGAATCCTTAGTCTGCAGGGCAGGGTGGGTGGGCAGTCTGTCCTCAATTACAGGTGGGTATCAGGGTGTTATGCTCCCTAAACTACCTTACAAGACAGTAATTCTGAGAAAGGAGCTGGGGGTGGGATGGGAGGGAGAGGGGGCCTGCCATCAGCTGCAACGAGCACCCTGATTATTCCCAAGGACAGCATCACTGTTGAGCTTAAGTCCCATGAGAGCAACGCAAACACCTATTTCAGGAGGTAAGCACAGCACTGGACTTTGCGCCTTTTCCTCCCTCCTCCCTTCCCAACATCCATCCAAGAATTAGAATTCATTCATCCATCCATCATTCATCCATCCATCCAAGAATTAGAATTCAGGAACAAGATGGCTATCACAGGGATATATCAAATAACACATTTAGTAATAGAAAATACACTGATGGAAAGCAAGTCTTGGGTGGTTGACCAGTTTGATAAAGAGAACTGGCTTTGTCAACTCAATTACACAGGGGACACTTCCCATAAATGAACCAACTACATTTGTAGCAACAAGGTCTTAACAAAACGATTATTATTATTATTATTTTTTTTACAGCATATAGTCTAAAAGCATTTTCCAAGAAGAGAAAACAAGGATACTACCGGTAACAAATGTTCATTAATGCTTTTTAAATTAATGTATCTCTGTTAAGTATTTGAACTAGACAAGTTGCTTCTAAGGAAAAGAGGAACAGATATGATGAATGGCAATTAGAGGTTTGATAAAGCCTCTTTGGGGGTATGTCCCAGAAACTGAAAATATAAGTGACTCTAAGGGCTGAATAACAATTATTTGAAAGTCAGGAAATTCCCAATTCTCAATTTTCAAAACAACTGAAGAAGGACCTAAATGAGTTGTCATTTTTTGGCCCAGAACTTGGAAGGCATTCAAAGAAGTAGTGACACTAGTCACAAAACAAAACTCCTGCCCACCCCATGCATTTATTCATGGCTCCTCAGAGCTTCTAGCTCTAAAAATAAAAAAAAATTAGGAAAGAGATGATACTAAATAGCTTTCTTTCCAGCGATAAGTATTATTTATCCACTTATTCATAAGCTAACTTTTAAGGCCAATCCAATCCAATTGCAATTTCAACACAATTTCCATTTAATAGTGTGTTCAGGAGCCGGAACTTTATTTTCTGGCCACATCAGTGGGTATTCTTGATGCTAAATGGCAGCCAATAAATGCCAATGGAATTCAGGTCCAGGATGCTGGTTCTTCCCACTATTCTGAGTTTTGTTTGGGATGATATGAGTCGAGGCTCTCTCCAGCATGTTTCAGGGAACCAGGCTGACCCCCATCACCAGCTCTTCCCATCCTGAGTGCTGCCTGAGAGCCCCCCTAACCTCATCTATAACCCCCCTGGTTGTCCCTCCCAGATGGGGCTTGGCTTAGGAGCGAGCTATCAAGAAGTCTGATGCTTCCGACCCACTGACCATGCCTTTCTCTTTCAGGAAGCCCCGCTCACTTGAACCTCTGAGACTAGGGTTAAGGTGAGGTCTGAGGCTCCTCCACGTCTCTGCAGCCCCTACTTCTTCTGCATGGGAAGCCCAGCAGAACCATTAAGTGGGTAGGGGAAGCTGGCATCACCTGGGTTCTAATCTCAGCTCTACCATTTTTTAAAAATATATATATTTTATTGATTTTTTTTTTTTACAGAGTGGAAGGGAGAGGGATAGTTAGAAACACCAATGAGAGAGAAACATCGATCAGCTGCCTCCTGCACACACCCCACTGAAATATAGTAGCAACCATACTCAGGTAAAAACTTCTGTTTGAATTTTAACCCCTCTAGTCTGGCTCTTGCACCTGATTAAACACAGGATATTTACCTCAGCCTCCAGGTGGAGACCTGGAGTCTAAGGCAGTTTTCCCTTGCCTGGGACCAGGACCACAGGAGATAGATTCCCACGGACTCAGTAGTTCAGAGATAGGAACTGTAGATAACCTTCAGAGATAGAAACTATAGATAACATTTAGAGATTAACCTCTGAGTTCTGCAAGATAAGGCCACATTCCAATGTTCCCAGCCTTTAGAATTTAGAACAACGGAAAATTCCTGTTGTTTGAACCTTTAAAAAGGACCTCCTACCTCTGGAACAGTGTGGTCATGTGGAGTCCACCTGTGTGTGGTGCTCTTACGGCCGTCCTGGCCAGTTTTTCAATAAATCTTTGCCTGCTTTTTTAAATCAATCATCAGCCTCCAGTGGTCTTATTTGGAACACAGGGTTCGACCCCATAACACCCACCGGGGATGTACCTGCAACCAAGGTACATACCCTTGACTGGAATCAAATCTGAGACCCCTTAGTTCGCAGTCCGATGCTCTATCCACTGAGCCAAACCGGTAAGGGCTCAGCTCTACCATGTTTAACTGTCTTCAGAAAGGCAAGCTATTAGATCTCTTAGCACCTCAGTTTCCTTACCTATTAAATGGTGATAGCAATACAACCATTTCCTAGGGTTATAAGGTCTACAAGCAGCACTGAGCTGGCGTACAAGAGTTCAATAAACAAAGTGACTATTATTAATATTAAATGTGAGATTTAGAATTTAAAGGTAAACTCAGTAAGGGAAAAAGTGGGACTCAGTAGGCAGGATGCTCTCCCTTCAATGGAGCACCTCTCCAGGCCCAGGGTGGGGGTGAACTCAGGCTCTACTCCCAATAACGGTGGCTGCAAGTCACCTGTGGCAAGGACAGCCCCTCACTCTGGGCGGCTGCCACCCTGACACACAGCCGCTGGGCAGGAGACCCCATGGTTTGCTTTCCCCCACACCTGGGCTTGTCCCAGAAACACAGGAGTAGTACACGGGGGAACCTAGTCACACAGAGCCAGCAGGACCCTGTGCATGCCTCCCCTGTACAGCGTAAACCCCCTTCTCTGATATCCCCCTCCCCGTGGGTGGGTGGGTGGGTGGGAAAAGCACAGAAGTGGCCTAGGCCCCTCAGGAACCCAGCCAGGAAGGAGACTTACCGCAGGATGGAGGAGACAAAGGAGGACCGGTCTGGCTTAGCATCAGTTGCATCTTCGCTCGCTGACTCCCCAGCTCCCTGCTCCCCGACAGAGTTCTGATCGATAGAGTTTTGATCGTCTGCCATCTGGAAGGAGAAAAACGAAACAGCAAATTGGTATCCAGTGTGATGTTTTCACATATTTATTTTTAAATATATTTTATTGATTTTTTTACAGAGAGGAAGGGAGAGAGATAGTTAGAAACATTGATCAGCTGCCTCCTGCACACCCACTACTGGGGATGTGCCCTCAACCAAGGTACATGCCCTTGACTGAAATCAAACCCGGGACTCTTCAGTCCACAGACTGACGCTCTATCCACTGAGCCAAACTGGTTTCAGCTGCTCTGATGTTTTTATTTTATTTTATTTTATTTATTTATTTATTTATTTTAAATATATTTTATTGATTTTTTTACAGAGAGGAAGAGAGAGGGATAGAGAGTTAGAAACACTGATGAGAGAGAGTCATCGATCAGCTGCTTCTTGCACATCCCCTACTGGGATGTGCCCGCAACCAAGGTACATGCCCTTGACCGGAATGGAACCCTGGACCTTTCAGTCTGCAGGCTGACGCTCTATCCACTGAGCCAAACTGGTTTCGGCTGGTCTGAAGTTTTTAAATAACACTCATTAGGTGAGGGTTTTTACTTAAGCTTAGAGATAAACACTCTTGCACATTGAGGCTCCAGGGCTGCGCTCCTGCCCCCATGGATTCATTCAAATGCTTGAGCGCTAACTCTATCGCAGGCATTGTTCCAGAGCCGGGTATACAATGGGGAAGAAAACCAAGTCCTTGTCCTCAGGGAGCCCCTAATCCAGCATCCATGACTTTGTTAAGCGTTCCTTGTGTAGGAGAAGCTGTGGAAGGTACACAGTGCGTTAAGGTTTGTAAGGAGACACTCCCCTGGATTTCTCACAGATGATTAGTTGCTCATCCTTTGCCAGGCATCGCTCAAACCCAGTTGAAAATGGGGAAAGGACAGAGGGTGGGGTGGGAAGCTGGTGGAGGAGAGCAATTGAGGGGCGGGGGAAGAGGAACACATTTGTAATAATCTGAACAATAAAGATTTATTTTTTTTTAAATTTTAAAAAAGGAGCAACCTGCAGCATCAAGTTCTCTTTCTGCTCCACATGGTTTCCCATGGTTTACCAGAACAGATTTCCTCAAGTCTGTCTGTGCTCGATCGTTTTTAAGAGATCCCTAGAGTTTCAAATCTAACTCCACTCCTTGGACTTGAAGGCCCTTCAAACTATTGCCCACCACCAGTTTTTGTAAGTAAAGTTTTATTGGAACTGAAATATAATGGCAACCATACTTTGGTAAAAACTGCTGTTTGAATTTTAACTCTTCTAGTTTGGCCCCTGCATCTGATTAAAACACAGGGTACTTACCTCAGCTTCCAGGTGGAGACCTAGAGGCTAAGGCAGTTTTCCCTTGCCTGGGACCAGGACCACAGGAGATAGATTCCCACTGACTCCGTAGCTTCAGGGATAGAAATTGTAGATAACCTTTAGAGACTAACCGCTGAGCTCTGCTTCTGTGTTATCGGCTATAGCAAGATAGGACCACATTCCAATGTCCAGCAGGGTGTGACTGGAAACCAACCTGCGGGCTGACCCCAGTCTTTAGAATGTAGTCTTTAGGATTTAGAATTTAGAACCAAGGAAAATTCCTGTGGATTAAACCTTTAAAAGGAATTGCCTACCCCTGAAGTGGTGCAGTCGTTTGGAGTCCACCTGCATGTGGTGCTCTTGTGGCTGTCCTGGCCAGTATTTATTTCAATAAATCCTTGCCTGCTTTTTTTTTTTTTTTTAATTAATCATCAGCCTCTGGTGGTCTTATTTTGAAGCCAGGGTTCGACCCCACAGCAGGAACCACAGCCATACCCATTCACTGATGATCTGTCTGTGGCTGCTTTTCCTGCCACAGTCAGAGTTGGGCAGTTGTGGCACAAGATAAGGTGGCCCGTAAGCAGCTAATATTCGCCATGTGGCCCTTTACAAAACAGGTGCACAGACTCCTGATCTAGGAAAACTATCAGCCAAACATCCCCTACTCACCTACCACTGCCTCCAAGAGGTAAAAATAACAATATAAGAATGGAAATTCACATTTAATGTTGTTTTATCAGCATTATCTTTTTAAAAATACTTCCAATGAACACTGTTAGGTCAGTCTTTTGATAATTGCCTTTAAAAAATTTTTTTAATTGATTTTAGAGAGAGGAGAGAGATCGATTTGTTGTCCCACTTATTTATGCATTCACTGGTTGATTCTTTTTTAAAAATATATATATTTTATTAATTTTTTACAGAGAGGAAGGGAGAGGGATAGAGAGCTAGACTTGACATTGCTTTGGCAGAACATATGGAGCACAAGTAATGCCTTTTGGAAGGTGGGGAGAAGAAGGGGAGGTGTCCAAGATGGCAAAGCACACCTAGCGGCCTGGAGCTCCAAGGGGCAGTATTATGTCACATCCAGCTTCCCTTAGGGCTGAGCTGGACAGTGAGGAGAGATCTGAGAAGCGGGGGGAGCTCCACCCAAATCTATACAAAGACCGTAAAAAGTCAAACGACCATCCTGTTTCTTCTCAGCACTTCACGGAGGCCCCTCACCACAGCCATCAACGTGTTTCCAGTTCGGAAGCAGTTAGATTTTCCAGATCAGAACTCAAAATGTTTCTTGAAACCAAGAGATAAAATCCTCTGTCTTCAGAGATAAGGGTAAATCCGGGCACGCAGAAGTGCCCAATAGTTTTTATTTCATCTCCTTTATACAGACTTCATTGCCTTTCGATGTGGATTGGTACTTAGCAAAGCCCTGAAGTATTTTCAAAATGAGCAAGTTCAAGTTATATAAGATCCATCAGAAAAAGAGACTAACTTCAACAGGTTATATCAATAGCCTTGAGCCTTTTGATATCACTAATCTTAGAGGCTGGGTCTAGGCTGTATGATGATAAAATGATGTGACCACAATATTAAAAAAAAAAGAATGCTTACCAAAATGGCTCCTAAGAAAGGCAAACATTTAATATGCTGAGACGGCTGAGAAGACTCACCCATGAATGTGTACGTGTTAGGGTGGGGGCTACGACACGGAGGTATGCTTTGGAGCACAGACCTGGTCCTGTCTTGTTGGGAAAAGGGCACCATTCCCATAAACGTGGGGCTGCTGTTGGGTGTGTGGGTGTACCAGAGGGACTGACTAAGCTTCCAGGAATTGGAGAAAGAAATGTCTGACCAGAAATCTGAGACGGGTAAGAAGAGAGGGGTGAGCAGGCAGAGGGAACTGCACACTCATGAAACATCCGACGTGTGTCATCCAAGTGTGGCTCATACTCTTCCTCCCCGGAGGGGGCTTAGCTACAGAGTGGTCACGTGGCATTCAGGCTGATTTCCACAGCTCGGCAGTGGGATTTCCCCAAAGATTTCCCTCCAAACCCTGGGCATACATCCCTTCTAACAACCTGCTGGAACGGATGTCTACCGCAAGCCAGCGTGGTGGACTTGGCCCTCTTAAGTCTGCAAGGCTGAACATTCAGTGACTTTCTGAGGCCTGCGACGCTGGGCTTGATTTCTGAGTGAAATCAAGGCAAGGGCAGTGCCCGAGGGGGGTGCCTGACCCCAGCCACATAATTTCAGTGAAGGCAAGTCCTGGTGTTCACCCCTTATTTCCATGTGTCCCCACAACCCACCAAGAAATTCCAGGCCTCTCTCAGCTCTCCGGTCTCTGCTGAGGGCACACCTGGCCTTACTTGTCTGGACATGGCCCCTTCTTGGGGCTCAGGCTCAAAGAGCGGCCATCATGGGATACTACAGACTCAACTGTTAAATACATCTACCTTCTCTTAAATGAATCCATGTATAATATACACAAAGCATTAATAGCACCGGGCACTCTAGGTTAATTACTACTATTATCCATTGTGACTTAAGCTATTTGCAGAATGAGAGCTTATCTTAATGATCCTTTCTTTGGCTCCAGTCACAGAAAAAAGCCAGGTACACGGCAGGCACGCAATACAAATCTATATATATAAAAGCCTAATATGCAAATTGTCCCCTTGGGAATTTGACCAGGAGACCAGGAGTTTGACCGCTCACTGTGACATGCCCTGACCACGAGGGGGCGGTGTGAATGAAGGAAGGCTCTGATGGGCCCTGATTGCCGGCCAGGCCTAGGGACCCTACCTGTACCCAAATTTCGTGCACTGGGCCTCTAGTTTCTTTATAAATGCTATAATAGAAATGCACTTAAAAATTTTAAATTCTTCATTGTCCCAAATAAACCGTGGTTAGAAGACACACAGCAGAACTAAAGGGGACCCAGGAGGGCCATGGAGAGAGCCCAGTCATGGTAAACAGAAGATCAGGGGCTGAGTCAGCTCCTCCACCTACTAGCCATAGGACCTTGAACGAAGTACTCAGTTTTCTCATCTGTAGAGTGGGCCAACAATAATGCCTCAGTCACGGGTGGCTGCCAGCTGATAGAAACAATGCACGTGAGATGCTAAGCACAGTGCAACGCCTTCTAAACGCCCAATAAACACTCCCTAGTATCACCACGGCCTGCGGTACTCAGGACTATCCGTCTTCACTGGCATTTTAAAATGACATCCAAATGTCAAGCAGCTTTTATGGAAATAAAACTAAAACCCTCCAGGGATGATTTCCCTCGCACGCTTCGTTGGCGAATGGTACAACATCTGGCAGGAAATCACTTCTTTAATGGGAGGGGGGAGGGGATGAGCTCCTTCCTCAAAAAAAAAAAAAAAAAAAATGACCTAATACATCTTACACCCCATTCTTGGCCCAGTGAAGACAATCTTCCTAAAAGGCTCCAAGGGAAGCAGCTCTGAGGACCTCCACCCTCACTTGGGGCACTTGGGAAGGAGGGGTTCGGGTGCTGACAGGAGGCTGACAGGAGCCTTAGCTTGCATGGCAGAAGAAACTGGGAAATTAAGTCATTAAGTCACGTGCCTACAGCCACGTAGCCCAGAGGAAGCATAGAAGGGCCGTGAATGTAGGAAACACCCGCCCCTTCGGGAACGAAGGAAGGCTGCGTGGATCCCTAGGGAGGAAAGAGCCTTAAAGAACAAGTTAGGACCACGCTGTCAGCCAGCCCAGAAGTTCTGGAGAAGGCCCGGGAATGACTCACACTCAATCACCCCATAAATGCAAACTTGGATACAGCGGTGAAAGGTTACCAGATACCTGGCAGCCTGGCAGTCCTGCCTTCCCTCCCCCCCCCCCCCCACTTCCTCAAAGGACCTTCAAGGGCCCAGCACAAGGGTACCCCAACAATGATGACAGCTCAAGTCATCTAAGCCTGGATGACGAGGCACTGCTATGCACCACAATCAGCTCCTCCCTTCCTCGCTGGAGCCTTTAGCCTGGGCTCCTCGTCATTCCCATTTAGCAGAGAGGCCCAGGCCCCCCCACCGGCTGGCAAGCAGGGAAGTGGGGGACTCGAACCTCCACCTCCGGCCTGGCCTGTGACACCGGAGCCCTTGCTGTCGGCCCTGCGAGAACCGCTCCTTCCCTTTTAAATTAAGGTGACCAGACGTCCCGATTTTGAACAATTTGTCCCTCCAAAAGCAGGACGTTTGGTCACCTTATTATTCTAAATCCACCGCTCCTTTCCCCAAACTGAGTCCCCGGGGACGCCAGCCCGCCCGCTGGCTGGGGAGGGAAAGGAGATCAAGCAAACAAACCGAAGCGAGCGAGGCTGGGGCCGCGGAGAGCCCTCTCCCCAAAGCTGCAGATCGGATCGGTCGGGCCGCCCAGCGCCCCGGGGACCCGCGGACCCGGCGGCCTCGGGGCGCGGGACGGGGAGGGGAGCGGCGGAGGGGGAGGCGCGCCGCCGCGGCCGGGCGGGCGGGAAGGCGGGAAAGTGGGAAGCGCGGGCGGGACCGAAGTTACCGTTCTCCCTCCCGGAGCCGGACCTGGACCTGGCGGCGTGGCAGTCCCGCTGCAGCAAGTGTCTGGCCGCGGGCGCGGAAACGGAAGGAAAAGTTCACTGCCGGAGTGGGAGGAGCCGCGGGACACGCGGGGCCAGGCGGAGCCGCGGGCACCGCCCCGGGTTGGCTGGGCGCGAAGCCAGCGGCCGCACGAGAAGCGCGCCCCGCAGCGGAGTGCACGCCATCGCCGGTCCCGCCGGTCCCGGTGACCTGGGCCGCGCGCACCGTGCCCGTCCCGCTCCCGGCCCCGCACCCCAGCGCGCGGGGGAGTCTGCGGGGACCCCCGCGGTCCCGCCGCCGCGCTCGCAGCCCCCAGAAGGCACATTCTGCAGAAATGGCCGCGCAAAGCTCACCCGGACCGCGCGCCCCGCAAAACGGTCCCCACCCCGCAACGGGAGAGCGCGCCCCGCAAACCGGTCCCCACCCCGCAAACGGGAGAGCGCGCCCCGAAAACCGGTCCCCACCCCGCAACGGGAGAGCGCGCCCCGCAAACCTGTCCCCACCCCGCAAACGGGAGAGCGCGCCCCGCAAACCGGTCCCCACCCCGCAAACTGGAGAGCGCGCCCCGCAAACCTTTCCCCACCCCGCAAACGGGAGAGCGCGCCCTGCAGCCTTGGGCGCTCTCAGAGTCCTGGCGACCCCCCAATCCCCACCCATCCACCTGCCCCCCTCCAGCGGCTGCTGCCTCCAGGCTACCGCTACACTTGGGCCTCAGGACTCAGCCCTAAAGGTCCTCCACTGACGGACCTTTGATCCCTAGTCTGTGCGGTCCGCGCCCCCCAACCCCCGGAGCTCGCGCCCGCATCTGCTTTCAGGCCTCACCGTGGGACGCGCTGTGGTCCGGCCTCAGAGCGGAGAACTTGCTTCCAGTCGCAGGGGCGAGGGTCTTGGCAAGTGAGTGGTAGGTCGCTGCTGACTCAGTCTTTACTCAGCAACTTTGCATCACAAATCACCTGGCTGTCCGGATGTTGCATGGCACACATGGGGTTTATTGGGGTTTTAGGGTTTGTAGCAGCGCAGCCTAAAACGGAAACAGTGCACTTCCACAGTTTCCACTCCTCTCCCACAACCTCACAACCCCATCACACACACACACACACACACACACACTCACACATGCGGCTTTTTCACCCTTGGCCCTCCAACGGAGGCTTCCAATACCTCTATCGCCAAGGCTCCTCAGGGGAACGGCTGATGAACTCCCATCACCCCGAGGTGTAAATATTTGAGAAGAAAACAGTTTTTATTCATAGGAGAGATATTTGCTTTTTAAGAGCTATCAACACCTGGAGCGAAAGGAGGGAAACCTTTCGTGGTGTGACACCTTTCCTGGTGGGACCTCACCTTGCCTTTTTGTTTGCTTGCTTCCCTCCGGACCCCAGACTTGGATCTTGCCGCTAAGATCCCACCAGGTAAGGACGCTTTCTTGGTTTAAGAAGGACTGGTCCCAGGCAAGTGTAGAGGAATAATTATAATGTATTATCTGAAGTGAAAAACCTTTGGGCCTCTGTGGACACGGACAGGGCATGGACGTGGAGGGGGGTCAGCTCCCAATGGGGCAGAGCTTCCAACACTGGAGGCAGAGCCAACGGATAAATCCTTCCTTTTCTCCAGTGGTCGGCAAACTCATCAGTCAACAGAGCCAACTAGCAACAGTACAATGATGGAAATTTCTTTAGAGAGCCAATTTTTTTAAAACTTAAACTATGTAGGTAGGTGCATTGTTATTAAATGAATTAGGGTACTCCTAAGCTGGCCTTTGCTAAAAACTCAAGGGGCCAAAGAGCCGCATGTGGCTCGAGAGCCACAGTTTGCCCACCACTGCCCTAGCAGATGTTCTTGAGTCGTAGTTGTTTAGATGGCCCCTTGGAAGATGGAGATCAAGCGACCCAATGCACTTCATAGCACGTGGTGGCTGCTTTAAGAACAAACCCTCTTATTGCCTCTTCCCCTCCATTTCCTGCTCCGTGCTCCTGTTCCTGGTACACTTCTGAATCAAGTCCTTACACAGAAGCCCTGCCCTCAGATTCTGTTTTCTGGGGAACCCAGGCTAACACAAACATCGGAACCAATCCTGATAGCCAGAGGCACTCGTGTGCCCCTTGGCTAAGGATGGACCCGGGGGACTGACCTTGAGCCATGTCTGCCCAGGAGGTGAGGGCTGTGCATACCTTACCCCGGCAATGAGTGTTTAAACTGTCCCATTTCCACTTGGTTGGGGTTGCTTCTCCTACAAAGTCTGATATCAGCGCCTTTTACAAACATAAGGGGTGACATAAGTCACATCTAACACCTTTCACTTGGTTTCCACAAGGGACCACGACCTTTTCACAAAGGTCACATGTAGCCACTGTGGAGCGCCACCAACCACAACCACAGGTAGAGGGAGGTAGCTTTTTCTCGAGATGAACTGACGGTGGTTCTTCATCCCCCCGCACCCCCGGATTGGGCCAGAGTTCTTTCTTGGTGGTCCTTGGGGCTTCCAGCCCGGGGAGCCTTGGGGTCTTCTGGTCGTTGTCCTTGGTGTTCCTGTTCGCCCAGGCTGCCCTGTATGAATCCCATTTCAGCGTGGGAGTCTTCCTGAGCCCCGAGCCCCCACTGAGAGTCCCCTTCCCTTCAAGAGCTGATATAGAGTGTGGAGCCCCACTATCTAAGATGGGGGGCCCCCAGCTGCACCCTCTCCTTAGCACACGTGATCCTAATCCTCTTCACTAGCTTTGCAGCCTCCTCCTCCCTGCTGGCTCTCCCAACGCAACACACAAGTGCTATTGGCTTTTGTCCGCCTGCAGATCCCCCCCATCAGCATCATCTCTGACCGTTTTGGCCGAAGGTCACTAATTGGTAGACTGCCAACCAAATACTGCCCATGGCCCTGTTTTACTGGTTTGTTCCCAGTGTTTGACAAAACAGGGGATTTCATGCATAAATGCAGGTATCTGGCTTCTTGGGAAAGATCAGCATATTCGCAATGTTGGGCACTCATGACAGTTGGCTGGGGTGTGTGCCCTCCCATTTGGAAAGGTTCCTACCATCACCGGTGACTCCACCTCTGGCCCCTAGAGGCATTTTGGTGAGAGTGTCATGTTTATCTCCTGGAGTCCATGAGTAGGTACTTTTCCATGTCAGTCCTTGTTCTAGGCACAGGATAGGAAATGACAACAAGGACCAAGAATCCTGTTTTGATGAAAGGAGACAGATAATTTTAAAAAGTAGAGGCATGGTATTTAAGATGTCAGGTGTTGGTAACCGCTATGAAGAATTTAAAACAGAGTAAGGTTAGATAAGGTTGGGTGCCATCTTTTTTCTTTTTTTAAATATATATATTTTTTATTGATTTTCAGAGAGGAAGGGAGAGGGAGAGGGAGAGAGATAGATAGAAACATCACTGGTGAGAGAGAATCATTGCTTGGCTGTGTCCTGGGAATTGAGCCCACAACACAGGCATGTGCCCTGACCAGGAATCAAACCGTGAACTGTTTCATGGATCCACTGAGCCACTCCAAACCGGGCAAGGTGCCATCTTTCTTAAACTGTTTCTAGAAGGTCCATTTTAGCGTAATGTTTAGGGGCAATGAGGGGCTTCACAAAGCCAGGAAGAGGAAGTTTTCCTTCAAGCTGCCTGCCTCTAGGCCTGGGGGTGAGGAAATAAACAGGCCTTTTTGGATCAATAACAAACCCGAGGCCAAAGCACCTAGGGTTCTCCTTTGTTCTTATTTTTGCATTCTAGCAGAAGCTAAACCCAGATTCATAGCTTCACCAGTTTCCAGTTGCCAATATTTATGATACATGATCCTGAGATCCACATATGGCTTTTACCCCTATCGTGGCATGAATCAGCCCTGCTTTTTATTCCCTATATTTTGGGGAGCTGGCCTTTCAGCTTTAGTCACCCTGTTCGCAGAGCAAGCCTTTCCAATTTGATCGCTGGGGGAGGGCGTGTCGTTTCGCCTGGGGTTCTTTTCTTGGGCTATGATCACAGCTAGCGAGAAACGACTCCATGCTGCCTACTCATGCCCCAGGATTTGGTCATCCACCCAAACATGATGCTGTTGTGAGTTCACTTTTCTATTTAGAGAAGCATGTCAGCTAGAAATACCTCTACCTCATTGCCCAGACGCATGCGTGTTGAGCGTGTGGCCAAAATAGCCTCTGGAGCAAGTGGCCGCTTTAAAAGCCATCCAGCTGCTGACTTTGACCGAGAAGGTCAGCAAAGGGAAGTGGAAGTTGGGTTCTGAACAATCACGGTGCCCCAGAGTTGAACAGTGGTCGGGATTTGCTAGACTTGATCGGCTGATTAGACCGAGGCTTCTCCTTGGATTCCTTGCCGATTGCCTGCCTCTGGGAAGTCAGGATGAACGTGCAGGCTTGCTCTAGATGTGGCTATGGAGTGTACCCCGCTGAGAAGATCAGCTGCTTAGATCAGGTCAGTAGATGTTGGTTGGCCTTTGGGGAGAATCACAAACGTGGGAACTTTATCTCCTCACGTTTGGATTCTTTCAAACCACCCCCAAAAAGATGTATTTCTCACCCTTTTGCAGCTCTGCCCAGTTCTAGTTAGTCTTCTATATTGTCTCAGAAAATGTCACTCATTTATATAACATACTGTAGCTTCGTGTTTTTAAATTACCGTTTTATGCCTAACACTTTTTTTCCTAACCCTGAAATATATAAGAATATGGAAAAAAAAAAAAGGCTATTTTGGTAAATCTTTTCTATGTGATTTCTAGATATGGCATAAAGCGTGTTTTCACTGTGAAGTTTGCAAGATGATGCTGTCGGTTAATAACTTTGTGAGTCATCAGAAAAAGCCATACTGTCATGCGTAAGTGTTTGATGGCCCTCCCCGACACCTCTTGAGTTTTGTTTATTTTTAGTTTTCAACGAGTAGCCAATCAGAGGTTCGAAAATCGCGCACCCCAGGGGTAACTCCAAGAAATGTCTTCTCAAAGGCTTTTACTCACAATCACTGATGAAACTTAAGGCAGGACTTTATGCAGTAAATAAAAAGATGAATGTTTCATATTTCTTCTTACAAGTAAAAGATAGAGTCTACCCGCTATAACCCCATGCC